TGTTGTTTTGTGTTGTTGTTATTTTGTGTTGTTTGTTTGTTTGGTTGGGGGTTTTTGGTGTTTTTTTATTTTGTTGTTGTTTTGTTGTTGTTGTTGTTGTTTTGTTGTTGTTGTTGTTGTTTTGTTGTTGTTGTTTTGTTGTTGTTGTGTGTGGGGGGGGGCGTTCATGCTCAGAGAATTAAAGTAAATCTCACTATCAAGAGGTCCGTCCATCTTGTTTTCCCAGTTACGATCTGCACATCTTGGCCTGTGCTGGTGTGGACTGCAACATTTGGCTGTACAATCCGTACATTCCAAGCAAAGCTATAGCCATGATGGAAGGTAGAGTAATGAACTGGGGGGGGGGGGATTTTTATACAACAGTGTGAATAGGACAACTAGCCGTCATGAGCTATCAGAATATCTGAAGAAATAGCTGTTTACCTATGCTGGCTCTCTTCGGAAATAGAAGCACAGCCGTCTACCGAAAAAGGGAGTAGATTGTCAACCGCCACATGGAAAATTGTAACGACAGTATACACTGAAACCTTCATCAACCTTAAAAAGGCTTTGATTGTAAAACTTGGGTGACTGCTCTTCAGGCGGTTGAGAACAAATACTAGGTTCAAAAAGTGATAGACCCGTGTAAGATGGTTATGTTTCCATTTGTAAAACTGGAACACAACTATTATAATGGTTGCTTGAGATAAAAACAGTCAGATTTATATACAAAAGAAGATTTTCATTTGAAATTCAAATTTTATCAATTTGTGATTCATGTGTTCTCTCTTTAGCAAGCGTTTCTTTGAGAGAGAAAATGAGATATTTTGATTGATTGACTGTAGACATTCTACGCCTCACACAATTTAGATTATTTTGGAGGTTGACTCCTTAAACATGGTTGTCAAGATCAACTCAGGTTGTTCGGATATGAAAGTACAGCAGAAATACCAGGATTCTTGATAACATAGACTTCCCACTTGGAAGTTGAACTCTACATTTTGCATGCAACAGAAAAATTTCAACAAAAACACAATACATTGTCATACAACGTGTGGCCCAAGTTATGAATAAAGGATAACCAAAATGTCTCCTCCATAGAAATACTTTGATCGGTACAAATGCAACTGTGGATTGACTTATAGAGCTAGAATATTCTTTAGGGTTTTTCTTTTCCCGATTGTTCCCTGTGCTCAAAACCAGTATACCAAAGAAAACCAACCATCCTGCAAACACACTGAACTGTTGACGATACTCAAGCTTAGTAAACATGAATAGATGTACTTTTTTACTTTTTCAAAACTGGACATTTTTCCAAGCACATTCATTCTTCAGACAGTAAAAGACCATCCATTTTTTTCAAATCTAATACTCTTTTGAATGCTTTTTCCCCAGGTCATATTCGGCCAGTTGTCCACCTTAAAATCAACGAACAAGAAAACTACGTCATCAGCTTGGATCTCTCCAAAACAATCTTCATGTTCAATTTGGCCTCACAACACGTCATTCAGGTGCCATAATTGGATTTGTTTCAGAAGTGTGTGTACAGGGCATAAAGGCACCAAATTGTTTGGGTTGATACGAGGCAGTGTTTTGAATTAGAAGATTTCTCTTTTGGGTTGGCTTTTTCGGGGAGAGAGAGAGAGACAGAGAGAGAGAGAGAGAGAGAGAGATATTTTTTGGGGGGGGGGGGGGGGTGCTGTTCCATTTCTAAGAAGGGGAACAGGAGAGGAGTGAGTTCTCTTTTACGTGTTTCCTTTAATAATTAGGACGTTATTTCGTTTAAGATTACTTATGTTTCAATTTTCTTTCTTCTGTTTTGACTGTTTGGTTGTTTTCTTTGCTTCTTTTGTTTGCCTGGTTTTTTCTGTTTGATGCCACTTCACTTTTTTATGAGGAAGGGGGCGAGCCCATAAATAGTCTCATGATATCGTTGGCAACGAGTTAAGCTTACGTATACATTTCTAAGAGATCAATGCTCTGCATCTTTTCAATATGGATTTTTATAGCTCATATTTGTATTCCTTTGCTCCCGAGGAGACTATTTTACATTAAGCTCTTGTTAAACATAGCTATAGCGGCATTTGGATTACATAAGCCATGCTTTTCAGAGACTACCTGTGGAATAAAATAGGTGGTCCTGATACCCAATCATGCTTTCCTGCCAATGATGAGTACTTCAAAATATATTCTCTAACATTTATCTATATATTTACAGCGTATCCCTGGTCAGTCTGTACGAATGGGCATGTTCCCGATCAATTCAATCTACCTAAATGCCAACAGAAGAATGTGCCTCTTGGGGTCTTATTGGTGAGTAAGCATTATTGTTGTAGTCTTCCTTGTCCTCTTCTTCACCTTGGCCTCTCTGATAAGCTATCCATGTTAAAGTGGCACTTAAACCAACCCATACCATATAATACTAAATTTCGAAAAATTTTGGCGATAAAAAAAGTTAGTGATAAAAAAGGTTAGTGATATCACGTTATCAGTTCAACTGAATCCAATTTAGTTTCCTGTCGCACTTCCAATAAAAGTCACATAGCTTTAGAAACTATGTCATGACTTCGTTATAATCCAATTTCTGAGGGGAGAGGGGGAGTATACATGTACATGATTTTGTATCACCTATGTGACTTCTTTTTTCGTCTTCTGATTTTGTACCCTGTTCTCTGAGTTGCGACAACCAGCCATGTGGTGATTAAGCATTTAAATGCATGTGTTAAGTTGTCTGACTTCTGTATTATGCGACTCAGAGTAACTTAAGAATAACTTTTTTATATAACTGCCAGGCAATTGCAACCCAAATCATCATTACCCTCACCCTTACCCACATACCTAAATAGTTATTTGTAAAAAGCCGTTATTTCTTTTTGTACGTTTTCTTCAGTCTGGCCATGCTGAAGCGTCATCGCCTGGAGGGTTTGCACGTTGACGTGAGATCACATGACTACAAGCTGGTCCGAGCAATGTACAGCCCCGAATTTGAACAAGTGGTACGATCATGCATGTTGTTTGTTTGTCTTAGTTCCAGTCTACTAACTAATGGTAGGAGGATGATACAATGGTCCAGTTCTCCGTCTTCCTACCCAGAAGATGTGAGTTCAATTCCCAAAAGGGGAACTTTTATTTTATCGAGAAGATTGGGGGGTTTTTTCACGATAACGGTTGTTCCACTCAGCCCGGATTTTCCCAGATAAGAAGATCCAAGCGGCCTGCCTTATGAATTACCTAAATCGTGTTGATCTCGGGGTTGAAACTTCCCAACCCATCACATTATGGTGTAGCTGCTCCTTTTCTGTATCCTTCCAGTCGTCAATCTTTTCAAAGTTACTTCTGTCCTAGACTAAAACACAAACGCCCCTGCGGCCAAAGCTTTAACTCTTCAATATCTGCCTACTGTGGTTCCCGGCAGGTGAGCGTGTGCACAGGGTCCATGGTGCGTGTGTGGGACATCACCACAGGCACTCGAGTCATGCAGTTCGGCATGGCACATTCCAAGAAGGCGCAGGTGAGATACAGGATCCTTTAGGTTTTCTTTATGTTTATTTATTATTGTTGGCGTGCGTTGTGTATTTGTAGATTTGAATCGTATTAATATCCTGTCAATACCACCCAATTCCTTGCTCTCAATAAAAAAAATCTGCGAATTATGAGCACCATGGGTGCCCAAATGAAAGGCAAAACACTATTCTGGCTATAATTGAGTGCGTGCGGCACCTCTTCCCTCCATCTCCACTCTCCATCCCTATTATTTTAACATAACTTTAGCTCCCAGCTGAGTCAATTTATGATAAATGGAAGTGTGTCAGAGTGCGCAGTCTAGGTTGAAGTGTACATCCGAGAATTGGGTAGGAGGGGGTGGTGGGGGGTGGAGCAAATCACTAACGTCAAGTGATGCCATATAAAGAAAGAGGGGTGGATAGAGCACATGTTCCATTCAGGAATGTAGATGTTTTACACCCCCATCGATACAATTTGGATCATTCAGGAAGCGGGCTTCGACCCTGCCTGTCAGGGCCAACCCAAGCTGAGAGGGATATATAACAGTAGAAAGATCGAAATACTCGAAATACTCGAAATACTCGCTAAAACCTCGGCGGAGGGCGGGGGGCATCCGGTCGTAAAATAAAGGAGCGAGATAAAACAAGATACTTGGTTGTGATCCTTTCAGAAAAAAAAGAAACTCACAGTTAGACAGTTTTACACGCAGTTCGGAAGGGATGGTTGATGTGCTTAAACAATTGGTATGGTTCTTTTTTACTTCAAACGAGTAAGTGTCATCTCTTGTGATTGGGGGGGGGGGCAATACCTCAGTTTGCTTACACATTGCTTCTCTACAGGGTCGCTGGGTCCCAGTGGAGATTGAGTGTGTTGCTCTCACAGAAAATCGCAGGCGACTGCTCACAGCAGCAGAAGGCGTCGTCAAGATCTGGAACTTCAATGTGGGCTCTGTGCTCAGGTGAACCTCGACTTTCTGTTCTGTCACTGACTGGCCATCAGTTCGATTAATAAAATGTTGGTCTAGATTAGTATATCTTTCTGTCCTATGGAATGCTGTATTCCCCTCGGCCTTGTACTTGTAGGCTCCTGATCAGCCTAAATTATGTCGATAGAGGCGCACGACATTCACAATTCAATGCATTCTCGGGTGAGCGAGTATCTGTTGGAAACTGTAGGTTTTGAAAAGTAGATCAATGTATTTGAAAATGTTTCTTGGTTAAGATTTTCCTGTTAAAATCAAATAGTTATCATCGTATCAGTACGTTTCTTTTGAACTTATACAAGCATTCTATTTAATGATACCTGAGTTTTTCTTTCTTCACACGGAAACTCAGCTTTTAAACCATCATCAAGAATCAGATCTGTGATAGACATCGGCGATCATAGTTCTCAATTCATTCCTTTGCTCGGAAGCTCTTAAAACAGCTTCCGTATCCTGATCTTTCCCCGTCCCCCTTCTTTTTAAGCTCTCCAAGTAGCTTGCTTTGGGCCTACCCCTACCTCTTTTGCCTTCAATTTTGCCAGTGAGAGCTAGAAAGGCGAATAAAAATTCTATAGCCTTCCGTTGTTTGCTACAGGATCCTAGACATGAGCAACTGTCCAAAGATCACTAGTATCGTGATGGCCAAGAAACAATTCTACATCACGGGCTGGAGCAAGATCATCAATGTCTTCAGCGACTTCAAAGGCGAGGAAGCTATCAAGAAGGTGGAGTACTTTGAAATGTAACTAATATGTACTGCTTATAGGTTGAAACCCTTGAAAATCCAAGGCGAATAATTTCTCGTTAGTATTATGTACCGAACAACTTATGTATTCTAATTTATGATACCGTAAATATTCTAAAACATTTTTAGAGGTTGGGCTACTCTTTAAAAACTGAGTCAATGCGTCGACGATAGCGACAACAGCAACAACAACAACGAAAACAACAGCAACAACAACAACAACAACAACAATAACAACATCAAAAGCAAATAACAATAACAACAACAACAATAACAACATTAACAAAACTTTAACAACAACAACAACAACAACAACAACAGCGTAAGTAATAATAATAACAACAAAAACAATAATAGGAGCAGCGAGAACGATAATATGAATATTATGCTCAGTCAACGTGTGCTCCCAGGACCATAGATAATATAATAAGTGAGTTTACATTCCTTATTACTGAAAAAGTATGTACAACAGCTATATCATGACAGTGTAGCCAAGGTCTTACTCCAGCTCACTCGTTATTGATACGGGCCTCAGACCTGGCAAGCCAAGCACAACGAGGACGTGCTACAGCTGTGCGTAATGGAACCCAATCTCATCGCATCCTGTTCCTACGATGGGACAATCGTCGTGTGGTCCAGAGAGACGACAGAGGCCTACTGCAAGTCAGTGCATGTCTGTTGGCGTGTCCTTTTGACTATGGACCAGTCCTTTTTGTCCGTTGTTGGCAGTTGTTGATTTATTTTTTTTCGAGGTTCTTTTAAAACACTTTTGTGCCACGGTTTATAAGCATATGGTCGTAAAGAAAAAGAACAGGCTAGAGCATATTTGTGCTTGGCACTAAAAGGTTAACGTTTTTGTACCTGTTTATTTTGTTTATCTATTGTTGTTACATTTTTCTCAATTACAGGACTTTCATTGGCTATTCTTCTTTTTTTATGTTAAAGTTAATGTTACTGAACGACCATGATGGAATTGTTTTGATATAATGTGTGCTTGCTTTTCAAGTTTAGTTTGTGGGGAGGGAGTGGGGGGGGGGGGGGTTCTCTCATATTATTTCAAGGAAATGTCAACAAAAATGTCATTATCGCTGATTAATGCGTTCTTTTTTTAAACCAATGATGATTTTTGGTTCAATCTATTTTTTTTTAATCGGTGGAAAAATATGTATACATTGTAGACACAAAAATACACTGTAAACATAACCATACATAAATACCTTGTAGACATATCAATACAAAGATATATCATATACAAATATTGTAGAGGTAATTATATTTCACGGCCTAACAAGTTTGTCGTAATATTGAAAATATTTGGAGGACCTAAATGTTTACCAGTGCAATACGAAAGCATAGATATTACGCTTGTTTTCTTAGACGGTGAATTATCAGTCGTCTTCGTGCCTCAGCGCTACTCTTTCGATGAGTAATATTTCTCCTATAACTAAAAAAAAAAGCATAAACATAGGTTGCGGGGGAGGGAGAGTTGTGAAGTATAATGAGTGCGTTAATATTCGTTACATTTGAACTTAAGCACACAAAACAGCAACATCAAGACAGTTTAGCCAGGCCATTATTTCAGCACACTTGTTTTATGATATATCATTTTCCTATACTGACAACACTGTGAGTGAGTTTTGGTGATTGTTCATCTTTGTTGACTTTTTCGGTGTTGATTATAACTGTGCACTGTTGCTATTGTATGTATTCATGTTTATTGATGTACATGTTTGTACGTCTGTTTGCAATATACGTTAGGACTTGTGATGTGCCTTGTCCCCCAGGTTCAGTGCTTCCTTCAGCAATAAACCAGAGCTGGACACATCGGTGAGGTCCGGAGGACCCAAAGGAAATATAATGACGGTGAGCCGACGGTTTGTCTTTTGTAATTGCATAAGTTTTACGTCCTCACAGATACGCCTGGTGGCGTCGGTAACCAAGTCAGACGTGTGATTGGGGGTTCCAGGGTTCGATCCTCAGCTAGGTCTGACGTTGTGTCCTTACGGGAAGTTACTTTACTTGAATTTCCTATTTTCCTCGGTCTTTTCCGAGATTACATTAAACTCCGAAGTCCCGCCTCTTAAATAACCTATTAGTGTTGACAGTGGCGTTCAACCTACTATACCAGTTCACCATTTTCACAGGCACGCCTGTCAGGACCAAAGTGGTCAGAGATGGATACATATCCCAGCAAAGAGACGGAGACACTCGATAATGAAAGATAATGATGGTATGGATATTGAGGTGATAAGCTGTCTCTTTGTGTCCATGGAGATGTTTGGATGAGTTA